GGATCTAGAACCAAGATTTGGTTTCTTAAACTATCATATGTTTCGTTCAATCCCATAAGGAATTGCATCAATCGTGTAGAAGAGTTATGATCAGAAATAGCTTTTGCAGAGCCACAGGTACATGAAGGAATTTGAACAAGAGAATTCAATTGATCCCATAACTGTTTAAGATTGGTATAATATTTTGAAAGTGATGAATCACCTTGACTGATTGAAGCAATTTGTCGTTGCAATTGATAAATCAACGGACCATTGCTCTCTCCGAAGTGTTCTTCTAATTCAAGCCACAATTCTCTTGCAGTCGTCGAGAAAATGAAGGCTCCGACGATCTCTTTTGAAATTGCGTTCAGAATCCAAGATCTGACCATACAATCATTGCTAATCCATTCATCTTGTTCAGTACCAGCAGATTCTGGTTGTTTCAAGGTTCCATCAACAAATCCGGTTTTCTTCTTAGCTCCGAGAGCTAGTTTGATCGAGAATTTCCACTGCATATAGTTTTCATTTCCAGTGAGGAGATTTGAAACAAGAAACATAGTGTTGTCATTTCCTTTTGGATTAAGAACGGATGAAGAAGCATTGTGTATATTCGAGTTTTGAATCGGAACTGAATCCATTTTGATGAACTCAGATCTATAACGAGGATAAGAGAAAAGAAAGAAAAAAAACAACGAAGATCAAAGGATCATACGCTCTGATACCATTTCAATATGATTAATATGATAAGAAAGAGAAGTAATTGATGAAAACTCCATTGATTTACATAATGAAGCTCTGAAAGCTAATTAAAGAGTACAACGAACAGAATGAAATTTACGTCTAATTAAATCTGTTTTAACAACCTCTACATATTTACAGATCTAACCCTCATGAATCTAAATATTTACAGAATAGACCCTGAGATAAAATGTAATAGAACCAACTCCTAACCGTATCTGCATACTTGTTCTTCTTTCTCATAATATGACAGTTTTTTTTTCTTTAAAGGGTTGTCTACTTGTTTTCTACTGAAAATTATTGCTTTCTTGTTTCATAAATTTACTTAAAAAGCTTGCTCCCATTGTTGTTGTTAATCTCATGTTGGTAGAGGCTTTTCCTTTAAGAAGTGATGTTATGCGACTTAATCTGTTGTGTTTCATATTTTGTAATATAGGTCTACCAAAGAGGAGACACAATGGATAGTGATACTGCATTTGAGGAATATAAGTGCAGGTATTACAAGGAGTTGACCCTCGGTCTGGTCAAAGTGAAGGTTTCAGAAAAGGTGTATAAATGTCCATATTGCCCCCAGAGTAGAGAATACAGTTATGATGACCTCTGTAGGCATGCAACTCGAATAGCAACAGAATCAAAAAGTGCTGGTTTAAAAGAAAAGGGGAAGCATATGGGACTTTTGGAGTTTCTAGAGAGATCTATCAAGTCTTCTGAATCAACCTGTAAAAGAAGCAGAGATCCTCAATTGGGGTTGGAAACTCTCTTACAAGAAATGAGCAAAAGAAGTCAAGAACTTATAAGCAGGACAGATTCTGCTATGGCTTTTGTTATTCAACAGAATGAAATCATCATTGACAACTTCAACAGAGGTATTTAATTTCTTAAGTGTCTCATGAAGTCACGATTATATGCTTGCAAATTGCTAACTTTGCTTCTTGATTAGATCTTACAAACTTGCTAGAGAATGCCAACAAGAAAGTCAAAAGGATTATCACTGAGCATGAGCAGATCAAAATGGTATTAACTATTAAGATATTGTTCATATAATCATATGGTTACTTAATTTATCAAGTGTTCATTACTTCATCATGACAGAAGTTTCTTTTTTACAGGATGAATCGGAAACTTTGGAGCAACAGAAGTCAGATGATATGATGAAGAAGTTGGTATAGGATCAAAAGGTTGATTCTGATTCTTGTATTAAATCTTATGTGCTACAATTTACAATAGTATACACACATCTTTGGATAATGTTTGTGGTTTCTTCCTTTTAATATATATATATATATATATATATATATATATATATATAGATAATATATATATATAATATATATATATATATATATAAGTTATGAACACACGACAGAGAGAAGTAGAAAAGCTTCAGCAGCAAATCATGGAGCTTCAGAAGAAATCCGAGTCCTTTGAAGAAGAAGTGAAAGAAAAAGATAAGAAAATTGAAAGCTTGGAAGACGAATTACAAACTGTACGCCAACAATTAGTTTCTGTAACCTTCTTTCTTTCCTTTCTCCGAGGGTTAATTACGCGTCTATAAATATGTGGTGACTAATTACCTTTTTACCCCTCTTACAACAAAATAGGGTTTGGAAGATAATCGCGTTCGTGGATTTTGTTCTACGATTAGTGTGAAAAGAATTGGTGAGCTTGATGCAAAGCCTTTGATTGCTTCTGCTAAAAGACGATGTTTAAGTGAAGAGGATACAGCTAAGTTTGTATCTTTATGGGAAGATCTTCTCAGGGATCCAAATTGGCATCCCTTCAAGGTCATCGCCATTGGAGAAGGTGAAGGAAAGGTATGAATTTAAGTACTTAACTAACAGAAAAAGGTGTAATGATATGATTGTGAAGGTGTAAAGTTTTTAAAAACAGTAACCATGGAGTATTTATTTTGCCAAATAGGAAATGATAGATGAAGAAGATGAGAAGATTGGCATGTTAAAGGCTGAATGTGATGAGGATGTATATGATGCGGTTGTTACAGCCCTAAAAGAGCTGAATGAGTACAATCCAAGTGGCAGATATCCATTTTCAGAGCTTTGGAACAATAAAGAAGAAAGAAAAGCAACACTGAAAGAAGGTGTTGAGTTTATTCTCAAACGATGGAAAACATACAAATACAAAGAATCGAGGTTGAAGAGGAGCACATTTCAAAACCAGGGAGTTTAATGTCTTGATATGGAAGATAAAATCATATTTCAACAAAAAAAAGTTTGTCATAACAATATATATGTCATATATATATTATCAGCCACATAACTTTTATCTAGTAATTTATTATGTATTTGGATGATATTGGTAAGATTTCTGGAATGTAATGTTGTAATAGAACGAAATTAAACCCAATATATTAAGTTAAGTTGGAAGTGTTTTCTATGATAATATACATAAAGTGTTTTATTTTAGGATAATCAAAGTTTTGCAAGATCTAAAGATGGAGAGGAAAACATTGAACCCTAAGAAAAGTATTATTTAATGTTCACTTCAAAGATGTTTTCATCAAAAACATAGAATATCCATAATTATTTTAATAATAAAAGTATCATTGAAAATCGAGAAGAATTCTTGTAGAAAGATATAACTGTAACTATAAATTTGTTAGTGTTTTTTCTTCCCTCCTCAAGAACATTTAATTAAAACATAATACATTCTTGTTATTACGTTTGGTAATTTACCATAGATTTTAAAAATTATTAAATTGAAGTCCATCCAATTTTCAACCAACACTTTATAGGATTTTGATTCCTTTAAATTCTTGTTGAATTCTAATTCCTTCCAAAAGAATATGCATAGCTCCAAAAACTATAAATAAGGATAATATAGACTTTTTATATTGTAGGAATGAAAAACAACAAAATAAAAAGACATGAGAATGCAACATAAAAATTAGGGACAAAATACTTAGGTTACGTTTAGTTGCGGAAAAATGTGCCGTTTTCCGGAAAAATTTTCCAAGAAAAATGAAAATTTTGAAAACGCGTTTAGTTCGTCTGTTTTTCTAAATTTTTTTACGGAAAATGAAAATATTTTGTTTTCTAAAATTACAACGAAGTTAAAAAACTTTTGGAAAAACCAATAATCATTATTTTCTATATTTTTCTAATTCCAAAATTTTTCTAAAATATAAACACACACCCACTCTCACCTCTACCTACCCACACCTTAACACCCCAACTCACCACACCCCTACCTACCCCCACCCACTCCCATTCCCAAGCCCACCCACCCCCTCCCATAGGGGTGAGCATGGTGCGGTTCGGTTCATTTTTTCCTATTTTTTTTGTTGGTTTGGCTATTTTTTTCTGTCAATGGAGAACCCGAAGAACAATCAGGTTTGTCTACTTTTTATCAAAATTTTACCGTGTTTGTGATTAGGAGTATGTTTTGTATATGGGATTAAGTTTTTTTTTGAAAAAAAAAATCGAAAATATATATATATATATATATTATATATATATATATATATATATATATATATATATATATATATATATATATATATAAACCGTAGGTTTCATACGAAACCTGCGGTGTTCAAGTGCCCAATGCACAGATTGTGCAGTGTCGACTTGTACACCTACGGTTTCGTATGAACCGTACGAAATTTTTTTTTGACAAAATAGTAGATTAAACCCCAAAACCGTAGCTTTTTTGACAAAACAGTAGATTAAACCCTAAAACAGTACACTTAAAAAAAACGTATTTTTTTTCCCAAAACCGTAGCTAAACCGAGAGGAAACCGTAGGTTTTAAAAAACCTACGGTTTGTTTCTTAGAAATGAAAAAAAAAAATTATACAAAACACGAAACAGTAGACGAATTGGCGAAACAGTAGACGAATATAGAAACCTACGGTTTCGTGGGCTATATTTGGACATTTACTAATTTTTGGCTAAAAATTGCTAATCACTTTCTTAATTTGGCTAGATTAGTAACTACCCCGTTTATTAAATATGAAAACTGTTTTTTCATAACTAACGCAACCTTAATTTTACTGGACCATTTCAGGTTTATTAAATATTAAAGATATAAAATTATAAAATATTATATAAATTGAAATGTAATATTAATCATTTAAATTGATTGGATAGAGACATGCGATGCGAGCACTGCAGCTCTTCCTCATTTGTACAAACTACAAAAGAATCTCAGGAAACGAGAAACCACCCATTTCTGCAAAAAAACTCAATCAAGTACTTTCTTGTTAGGAAGAAAGCAATATATACGATTACTCCTTTACATTCATTCCTTTTCAAATCTCTTCAAAAAAAACTCACAGAATCACGCATCAACAATCTCCGCGCTCTAAATCGGTTTACAATTTCTTCAAAAAGTTTGCTCTGTTTGATCGATATCTTCTGCATTACCACTCCACAAACCCAAACGATTCCATCCTAGGGTTTTGGTTTATAGTTCTGAATCCTACAGCTTCAAACTTCTAGAAACTCTCAGGTATACTATAACACTACTCCAATCATCGTGTTGTGTTTTTGTTAACCTGCGTGATATACAGTATACGACAATACTCCCTATTGTTCATGGAGCGGTGTTATTGAAAATTTTATGTTTGTGCTTACTACTTTTAGAGGTAGATGTAAGATGTTTCTATGTTTTTTTAGTGTCCATTACAATGTGATCAGTTTTGTAGTAATATTTGCAGTTGATTTGATTTTCAGTAAAGCTTAATCGCACCAAAATATCGTCTTGAGTATATTAATCGATAACAGTAGTTTATTCCGTTAATGTCGTTGATTTTTTTGTGCTATATCAACTTATTAAGGACTATACACTATTTCAGCTTACTATTGTGAAATTATACTGTTTTTTTTTTAAATATTGTAGCTTAATGCCCTTATTTCTGCAGATAAGCAATGTTATTGGGTTGGTTTAGGTGCTATCCTTGTTGGCTTTTATGTTCTTTGTGTTTACTTACATATCAGTGATCCTTGTTGGTTTAGGTGCTATCCTTGTTGGCTTTTGTGTTCTTTGTGTTTACTTACATATCACACATTCTCCTACTAAACCCTAAATTTCAACAAATAGATGAATGTATGAACATCAAGAGAACCAACTCCAACTATATATGCATGCTTGTTCTTCTTTCTAAATAAATTAAAGTTCTTTTTTTCTGTAAAGGGTTCTTTCTATTGGAGATTATTGCTTTGTAATTTCATAAATTTATTTTAAATGCTTGTTGTCATTGTTGTTATTAATCTCATGTTTTGTCTATCAAATGATTTTGAATATCTGTTTAGGTGAAGCTCTTAGTAGAGGCTTTTCCTTTAAGAAGTGATGTCATGCAGCTTAATTTGTTGTGTTTGATATTTGTAATACAGGTGTACCATGATTCAGACAAGAGGAGAGCTGATCAATAGTGATCCTACATTTGATGAATATAAGTGCAGGTATTACAAGGAGTTGACCCTCGGTCTGGTCAAAGTGAAGGTTTCAGAAAAGGTGTATAAATGTCCATATTGCCCCCAGAGTAGAGAATACAGTTATGATGACCTCTGTAGGCATGCAACTCGAATAGCAACAGAATCAAAAAGTGCTGGTTTAAAAGAAAAGGGGAAGCATATGGGACTTTTGGAGTTTCTAGAGAGATCTATCAAGTCTTCTGAATCAACCTGTAAAAGAAGCAGAGATCCTCAATTGGGGTTGGAAACTCTCTTACAGAAATGAGCAAAAGAAGTCAAGAACTTATAAGCAGGACAGATTCTGATATGGCTTTTGTTATTCAACAGAATGAAATGATCGTTGACAACTTTAACAGAGGTATTAATTTCTAAAGTGTCTCATGAAAGTTACAACTATATGATTGAATCATTGGTCCTTTATTTTTCATCTGGACTGCTTCAGACAATTTCTAGTTTGATATACACATGCTTGCAAATTGCTAACTTGCTTCTTTAATTAGATCTTAGAATCTTGCAAGAGAAGGCAAACAAGAAAATCAAAAAGATTATGACTGAGCATGAACACAGCAAAATGGTACTAAGATTAAGATATTGTTGATATGGTTATTTGTTAGGTGTTGATCATGACACAAGTTTCTTTTTTTATAGAATGAATCAGCAACTTTGAAGGAGCAGAAGCCAGATGAAAGGATGTTAAAGTTGGTAGAGGATCAAAAGGTTAATTCTAATTCTTTTGTGGATCTTGAAAGCTCTGATACACATATATGGTTATATGATTTCTTCTTTTTAATATATATATATATATATATATATATATATATATATATATATATATATATATATATATAAAAGTTATGTGGTACATAATGACAGAGAGAAATAGAAAAACTTAAGCACCAAATCATGGAGCTTGAGAAGACGTCTGAATCCATTAAAGAAAATCTGAAAGAAAAGAAGAAGAATTGAAGAGGTTGGAAGAGCTTCAAGAAGCCTTGATAGTGAAGGAAAGATTGGGAAATGATGAATTACAAGATGCTCGCCAACAATTAATTTTGTAGCCTTCTTTCTTTCCATCCTTTTGACTCTTATGCATCTATAATAATTACGTACTAATTACCTTTTTACCCCTCTTACATAAACAGGGTTTGGAAGATAATTGCGTTGGTGTTCGTGCACATAATGTTAGTATAGGTGTGAAAAGAATGGGTGAGCTTGATGCAAAGCCTTTGATTGCTTCTGCAAAAAGACGATGTTTAAGTGAAGAGGATACAGCCAAGTTTGTATCTTTATGGGAGGATCATCTCAGGGATCCAAGCTGGCATCCATTCAAGGTCATCGCCATTGGAGAAGGGGAATCCAAGGTATGATCGATCTTAGTTAAACATAAAAACATCATTTAATTTAATTTATTATTGGCATGATAGGAAATGGTGGATGAAGAAGATGAGAAGATTGCAATGTTGAAGGGTGAAAGCGATGAGGATGTATACAATGCGGTTGTGAAAGCCCTAAAAGAGATGAATGAGTACAATCCAAGTGGCAGATATCCATTGCCTGAGCTTTGGAACCACAAAGAGAAAAGAAAAGCGACATTGAAAGAAGGGTTTGAATTTATTCTCAAGCAATGGAGAATATACAAAAACATGAAACGAGATTGAAGAGTTAATCATATTTCAACAAAAAAGTGTGTCATAAATTTATTCAGGTTTAGTCATATTATCTATATATATGTCATATATCATCAATATAGCTTTAGAGATGTTAACGTTGGTCTATCTATCTTCCAATTGGTCAATCATGTTAATTTAACTGAGATTGATAAAAAATGATGTAACCAATATGATTTGGATAGTTGTTGATTTGGTTTTCTTCTAGAGTGACTTAATAGACTCGTATGTAGTTTTTACCTAAAACATATTCAATTGAGTTTTTACCTAAAACATATTAAAGTTTCTAAAATCATTCGTGGCATCTTAATTTTTTTTATTTGCTTTGATCTCTTTCGTCTGTGGATTTATAGGTGTTTTGGAGAAAAAAAAATAATAAGTTTTAACAAATGGTTTATATAGTTAACACTCGACACTAACTCTTATTAGTTATTCGAATAAGAAATAACGAAATAGTTATTATTTAATTACTCGGGTCACTTTAATTTCTGGTTTGATGAAAATGAATTGTGATATGTACACTTTTGAAGAATATTTAAGAAAAGATATACTTGTTGTATGAATGGCTGCTCGAGTGGACTAGTGATGGTGATTTGAGGGTTATCTAATTGCCTATTTATTTTTGTTTTGATGAATAGGATGTAGGTAATGTGTTTTTTTATAATTATTTTTACACATGCTAAACTTTATTTTAAGTATTTTTGAATTAAATCAATGTTTTGAGTTTTTTGGTGTTTAGTATTTTTTTTTTACATGTTAAATTTTATTTTATAGTACTGAAAGTTACTTGTTTAAGTTTTTCTTCAAGAAGAAATGTACATCCACACGCATAACTAAAAAACAATAGAGAAATAAATTGACAAATTCTATACTTTAATATGCCTTATCGGATATAAAAATTAAAACATACGAAAAAACAACAAAATAAAGATTCCCCACTTCAATAAAATTGAATTTTGTTAACAATTTTGTTACTTTGCAGAAAGGGTATTTTTTAAAATTAAAGTTGTTGATGGTTTATTTAAACTCTACAATGACAAAAAAACAACTTAATGAATTAGTTATAATAATAATTGAGATCAACCTTCTGGTTAAAATTCCTTGTTAAAGCGTATTTAAATTTTTTTGACTCGCCGATTGTTAGAAGAATAATAATAATAATTCTTAAGTAAATATAAGATTTTTTGATACTTACTTTGAGCGAAACGTTTCTTACTGTTATCTTATAAAATAAAATAAAAGGTACGCGAATATAATTTATCATAATTTACTAATTTTAGAGCCTAAATTTAATGAATTGCATATGACCAATAAATGTTAATGGATTATACCTAATATTTTAATCGAAACATAGAAGCTTCATTGTAATATAGGCGTGGAATGTCAATAGTAAGGGGATAATGATTTGAAAGGGTAACGAACTTTCGACTTTGTTCACATTTAGTCACTAAACTTTTTTTCGTTATCTATTTGCCACTGAACTATTGAAACTGTTCATCTTTTACCCTTATGACCGGTTGTTACCGGTCATAAGGGTAAAATGTGAACAGTTTCAATAGTTCAGTGGCAAATAGATAACGAAAAAAAGTTTAGTGACTAAATGTGAACAAAATCGAAAGTTCGTTTCCCTCTAAAAAAGTTCAATGACTAAATGTAAACAAACTTCCTCTTGTATTATGTTTTAGCAAATTATTTATTTTTGTTAAATTGTAGCAACATTTGTTCATGAAGAAATCTATTAAATAAAAAAAAACCAAAACCCCGAAAAATATATTAAAAAAAACGAAAAACCGAAACCGAAATAAAAACCAATGGTTTGGTATTTTCCAAAATAAAAAATCACAATTTTCCAATCTGATTTTGGTTTTACAAAAATTCAACTTTTGGATTTCCATATCTAAATATCTCCACCTTTTTATAATCGAAAAATGATTATAAAACCAAAAAGGGAATGAGAAAGAGCTCAATTCAGAATTTTTCTATCCAAAACTCCCCTTTGTGACATGAGAGATAGAGAGAGACATTTAAACACCTCTATATAAGGTGGGTTCATACCACATGTAGAGTTGTGCTTGAGAGATATAACATTGAGAGTGTTAGTGTGTGTTAATTATATAGATTTAGATCTAGATCATTTTTGTAAACACCTTTCATAATCGAATGCATCTCTTAAACACCCAAATCACCGTGTTCTTTGTGTGTTCTTTAATTCCGCATGTCAAACCAATGGTCATAATTCACATCAGTGAGAATGGTTCATTTTTTTGTAAAACCAAAATCAGATTGGAAATTTTGATTTTTTTTTTTGGAAAATGCCAAACCATTGGTTTTTAATTCGGTTTTGGTTTTTCGTTTTTTTTAATATATTTTCGGGGTTTGGTTTTTATATTTCATAGATTTCTTCATCAACAAATGTTGCTAGAATTTAACAAAAATAAATAATTTGCTAAAACATAATACAATAAGAAGTTTGTTCACATTTAGTCATTGAACTTTTTGGAGGGAAATGAACTTTCGATTTTGTTGACATTTAGTCACTAAACTTTTTTTCATTATCTATTTGCCACTGAACTATTGAAACTGTTCACATTTTACCCTTATGACCGGTAACAACCGGTCATAAGGGTAAAATGTGAACAGTTTTAATAGTTCAGTGGCAAATAGATAACGAAAAAAAATTTAGTGACTAAATATGAACAAAGTCGAAAGTTTGTTACCCTTTCAAGTCATTATAACGAAAGGTTGTTGTCTGCCTGTGTCTATATATATATATATATATATATATATATATATATATATATATATATATATATATATATATATATATATATATTCACAATGTTTACACGACTAATCTTATATATATAATATGTGCACATCATTAACCATTTACACAAAAGTTACATATACAAATTATATATATATATATATATATATATATATATATATATATTGTAAATAATTGGTGGTGTTGTAAATAATTGGTGCATGGTAAATTTGTCAACATTTCTAAGTAGTTACAATTATATGTTAGTAAAATTTGTAGTATAAATACCCCTTCATTGTAAAGAATGTGATACACCAAAAAGTTATAAGACATATAACTTTCATATTCTCTCAAAATATTCTTTCTTCTCAATTAAAGTTTTTATCAAAGTTTACTAGTTTGGTTTGATTTATAGTTACATTAATTACGCTTAATTCATAACACGTTATCAGCACGAAAGCTCTAATCAAGGTTATTAAACAAGTGGAAAATCACATCTATCTTAATCAAGGTATGTATTACTTAGTAAAAACACTATTAATTATAAAAACCTCAATCATATTAAAATAATAATACTAATGAATTAATGAAACTTATACATTATGGACATTATAGACTACTAACAATTTTTATTTCTTATACTAACATTTCTTTATGTATTCTAATTTTTATACTAACATTTACATTATGCAACTAATTTTTATTTATGCAAACTAACATTTACATTATGCAACTAACTTTTATTTATGCATACTAACATTTATATTATGCTACTAACTTTTATTTGTGCATACTAACATTTAAATTATATTTATTTATACATGTCAATGTTTATTTATATTTTAGATACTCTTCATAATTTTATTTAAGCATTTACTAATATTTATTTATGTTTCTAATTAGTAAAGTTATATATTAGTTATAAGTCTTATTATATGATTTATAAAATACATATACATATATACACAATGGGAATATATATGCAACGGTTATAAACAGCAAAAACAACGGCTATATTTTTTTACCATAAATAAACATCTTTACCCTGCTTATTTTATCCACAACAAATATTTCTCTCTTCTATCAAATAAATCAATTTCAAGAAATCAAGCTTCAAGATGATTCATCCTTTTGTGATAATCATGACTGTAATGGGCCATGAAGGTGATGGTGGTGACGAGCCGCCACATCCGTTCGGTGGAGATTTTGGTGTTCACCAGATTGATGGTAATTAAGATTTATTCTAATTCATTGTATTTCATATTGTATGTATATAAAAAACTATCTTTAAATTTACTAATATTTTTTTTTGCAGCTGTACCTCCCAGACGAAGAGGCATGACAGTAAACAAGAAAATGCATCGGCTATATGAAGCAAACGGCAGACAACCTCTAAAAATAATATTTGACAAGAATACTTTTGTGCCGATTGGGTATGTATACGAATGCTTTATTTGGGAGGTTGGAAGTTATATCTGGCGCGACATAGCTTTGGATAAGAACACCTGGAAAGAAGTTCCTGAAGCCTATCGAAATGACATGTTTACATATCTTTCGGTAAATTATTTATAAAGTTATATTTAACATGTTTAATTTTGATTTATTTTTAACTTCTCTATTTTTTGTAGACATATTTTGATTTTCAAGCCATTTCAAATGATCCAGATGCTAGAATTTTATGGGCATCACTGAACCATCGGATATGTCAGCGGTATAGAGGCCGCAAAAATATTGCAAAAGATAAATTTATAGATATGCTAGAAGGTGCGAGGTAGCAAGGACTCGACCCCCCGCAGGTATGGATTCAGCGCGTTGGAGTGCTACTATTAACCACTTCTTAACTGATACACATTGTAAACGATCCAGTGTAAACAAAGAATGCCGGAAGAAGCAAGTAGTTAAGAATCGTGGAGGGACGTGCAGCTACGGTAGTGCTTCTTTCAAAAAATGTAAGTTACATTAATGTCTATTCAGTTATAACATATTTTGTAATGTTTATTTTAGTATAACATATTTTTTAATGTTAAACAAAATTTGAATAAACTTGAAGTATTTCACCGTGCACATGTCAATAAACAAGGGAAATTCGTTGACCCGTTAGTTGAAGAACAATATGTAAGTTATTATTACTTAAAAATGAAGTAGACTATTGTTTTGTGTTTGTTTTGAAGTATATTGACAATCTTCGTGAAATGCAGAATGCTTTAGTTGCTGAGGTTGCTTTACAAACTCAGCACATAGCCGACTCCGGTGGTGATCCGAACTCCATTGATTGGATAGCCTTATTTGAGAAGGTGTTAGGTGCTCGAAGGGGACATGTGAGAGGCATCGGGCCTAAGCCTTCTGTAGCGGGTACAAGTGCTCCCACCCAGTGGCATTCACAGTCACAAACACCGCAACCAACACACGTACTTATTAATTTGTTGTGAATTTTGTTGTTTGATAGTTTGGTAGTTTGTTAGTTTGTTAGTTTGTTAAATTGTTATAAATTTGGTAGTTTGTTAAATTGTTATGCATTTGGTAGTTTGTTAAATTGTTAAGGACTTAATGTGTTTGTGACTTAATTGTTAAGTAATAATAATTTGTTTTTATAGTATGATATATTTTAACTTATATTCTTACTTTGTAGGATGTGGATGTTAACGTTTTTCTCCAAAACCCGGCGTTTGTGACGGCAATTGGAGATATTATCCGCTCGTTTAGCAAGTAAGTTGACAATGCGACCAACAACGACGAGGAAAACGATGATGGGGACAACGATTAATATATATTGCTTTATGTTATGGATGATGTTATTATGGATTTAGATGATGTTAATGTTATATACTTTCTGTATGATGTTTTATGTAATGCAGATTTTGAAATTATAAGTTTTATAATTTTATAAATTTTGTATTTTTATAATATAAACTAATATAAAATATAAATTTTATCTAAAAAAAACAAGCATTAGTGGCGACACCTTTAGGGACGATCTTCAACATTAGCGACGACACATCTAGCCGGAATATTTGGCCGGAATAACACTGGCCGGTCGCCGGAATATTATTAGGGACAACACCTTTAGGGACGACGACTGGTATTAGCGACGACATGTATTAGAGACGATGCCTTTAGGGACGACTTTTGAGTATTAGCTACGAGGTATTTGCGGCGACCCAATTGGGATGAATTGTCGTCCCTAATACCTGGGCGACTTTCTTGACTATTTCCGACGCATTTTGTCGTCCCTAAAGGTGCCTTTTCTTGTTGTGGGAGCTAAAATCGATGCGTACAAGGGTTTTTGTTAAGGGCAACAATCGGGTATGTGTTAGTTGTTCTAAAAAAGTTAAACTTAATATTCGGATAATGACCATAATCAAGTTCAATAAGTTTTAAAATCCTTTGAAATTTTAAGTTTTTTTTATAGGGATAATGACTCTTTAGGGTAACTAACTGTTGCGTTTGTTTTCATTTGGTCCCTTTCCTTTTTTTTGTACTCAATATACCATCGAACTTGTTGTATGTGTTCACCATAACCCTTTTGACCGGCTTTTGACATGTGATAGCCGGTCAAAGGGTTATGATGAACACAAACAACAAGTTCGATGGTATATTGAGTACAAAAAAAAGAAAAGGGACCAAATGAGAACAAACTCAATACTTGGTTACCCTCCCGAGTCATTTTCCCCGACCGCAATTTTCCCCGAGTCATATACGTTATGGCCAAAGAAAGTTGCGGTCGGGCAAAATGACTCGGGAGGGTAACCAAGTATTGAGTTTGTTCTCATTTGGTCTCTTTCCTTTTTTTTGTACTCAATATACCATCGAACTTGTTGTTTGTGTTCACCATAACCCTTTGACCGGCTATCACAGGTCAAAAGCCGGTCAAAAGGGTTATGGTGAACACAAACAACAAGTTCGATGATATATTGAGTAAAAAAAAAGGAAATGGACCAAATGAAAACAAACGCAACAGTTAGTTATCCTAAAGAGTCATTATCCCTTTTTTATACAAGTCCTAAATCCCCTGAACTCTAAAGGACTTTGGAAGCCTCCCCATAATTTTTGGTCTTTTAAGTCTTTAAGTGTATAATACTCTCCATTGGAAATTCACAAGAAAATTTTATATCAAGAAAGTACATCAGTTAACATAAGACATCAAATAATCATAACATGAAAGTATATCGGCTAATGTAAAACATCAAATAATCATAACAAGACCCTCTTATAAGGATTTTCTACTTCGAATGGTACAAGTCATGATGATGTTATCACTAGTATGATTGAAGGCTTGATGACATCATCCTAAATCTATCAAAGTGGTTTTATAGTCTTGAATTCGGATGGAATTTGATGGCTTATGGGAAATGGACCAATTAACAAAACTCTCATGGTTTTGCCATGATATAGTGTGTTTTCTGGGCATTCGAGAGTGTTTAGGGCACAAAATAATGTTTTTTTGTTTTTACGAATTTTCAAAATTTTTAAACTTTATGTTTGATCTAGATAATTGATTTGACGGTAATAATGAGAATGTTTAAGTTGTATAAAGTATATAAGTTATATATAAAATTTAATAAATATATAAGATTATGTAAAAAATTCTCTAAATGTGTAAAATAACGATTAAAATATAAAGATATAAATACTGGTATTATATAAATTAAAAATGTAATTTTAAAAATTTAAATGGATTCATTGGAGGCATGTGGACCATTCCCCATTTGTACAAACTACAAAGGAATCCCACGAAACGGGAAACCACCCCATTTCTGCAAAAAAAACTCAATCAAACACTTCTTTCTTTCTTGTTTGGAAGAAAGCAACAATTCTCATTACTACTCCATTACCAGTGATAATTATATTCTCAAAACTCACATAATCACGCCTCAACAATCTCTGGCTATAGATCTCCGCTCACTAAAATCTGCTTTACAATTTCTTCAAAAACTCTGCAGCTCTGTTTGATCGAAAACTTCTGCATTATCACTGCACAAAACCAAATGATCCCAACTTAGGGTTTTGGTTTATACTTTTGAATCCTACTGCTTCAAACTTCTCGAAACTTTCAGGTATACTATAAAACTCCTCCAGTCGTAGTGTTTTGTTTGTGTTAACTTGTGTGCGATACATTATGCTCCTGTTGTTCATGGATCCGCTTTATTGACATTTACTAGTTTGTGCTTCTTATTACTTTTAGAGGTAGCTATTGTCTATGTTTTTTGGTGTCCATTACAATGCGATCAGTTTTGTAGTTATATTTGCAGTTGATTTGATTTTCGTTAAAGCTTACTCACAACAAAACAGCGTCTTGGGTATATTAATCGATAACATTAGTTCATTCGGTTAATTTTTTGTGCTATAATTTTATTAAGGACTATACACTATTTCAGCTTACGATTGTGAAATTATACTATTTTTTTTAAAGATATTGTAGCTTAATGCCCTGATTTATCCAGATGATAATTAACTTTATTGGTTTGGTTTAGGTGCTATATTCTTGTTGGTTTTTGTGTTACTGAACTGGAAATTGCCATAAAGGGGTGCCTACTTGTTTTCTACTGAAACTTATTCATTTGTAATGTCATAAATATATTTATCATATCCAACAAATTCAGGGTCAAATACTGGTGGTCATTGTTGTTGTCAACTCTCTTGTTATATCTGCAAAACATGATTGTTTTATCTTATACATGGTGATTTTCTGGTGATGGTTATGTAATGTGAGTCAAATGAGTTTAAATATCTGTTGAAATGAAGCTTTTGGTAGAGGCTTTCTTCTTGAAGTGATGATATATATATATATATATATATATATATATATATATATATATATATATATATATATATATATGCAGCTTAATTGCCGTGTTTGATATTTTACAATATAGGTATATGATGACTCAGCAAAGAGGAGAGACGATGGATAGTGATCCTGCATTTGATGAATATAAGTGCAGGTATTACAAGGAGTTGACCCTTGGTCTGTTCAAAGTGAAGGTTTCAGAAAAGGTACTAATTACCTTTTTACCCCTCTTACAATAAACAGGGTTTGGAAGATAATTGCGTTGGTGTTCGTGCACATAATGTTAGTATAGGTGTGAAAAGAATGGGTGAGCTTGATGCAAAGCCTTTGATTGCTTCTGCAAAAAGACGATGTTTAAGTGAAGAGGATACAGCCAAGTTTGTATCTTTATGGGAGGATCATCTCAGGGATCCAAGCTGGCATCCATTCAAGGTCATCGCCATTGGAGAAGGGGAATCCAAGGTATGATCGATCTTAGTTAAACATAAAAACATCATTTAATTTAATTTATTATTGGCATGATAGGAAATGGTGGATGAAGAAGATGAGAAGATTGCAATGTTGAAGGGTGAAAGCGATGAGGATGTATACAATGCGGTTGTGAAAGCCCTAAAAGAGATGAATGAGTACAATCCAAGTGGCAGATATCCATTGCCTGAGCTTTGGAACCACAAAGAGAAAAGAAAAGCGACATTGAAAGAAGGGTTTGAATTTATTCTCAAGCAATGGAGAATATACAAAAACATGAAACGAGATTGAAGAGGACCACAATTTATTATTGCATATTTCAACAATTAAACAAGTTTGTGATAACTTTTATCCAATTTTAGCTACTCATAATATTAATATTATATTATAAATCATTAATAGTTTTAGATATCCTATTAACATTGGTCTATTTCCCAAGTTGGTTATTCATGACTTCATGTTACTTAACAGGATAGCTAAATAAACAAATAGCAATGGACTTTTGTTAGCATAGTGTTTTCTGTTTTTTCACTGTAGTTTCTTACAGCATGATATATTCTTACTAGGGCTTCGTAATTGGAAAAAACTACTCAGAAATTAAATTGCTTTCTATGTTTATAACATTTGGGTAAAATTTTCTAAGTAGATACAATGTCTTTTAACATGGTAAATGGGAAAATGATTTCATGAAAGGTATTTCATACAACAGCAATAGCTAACAACAATAAGATATGTTTAACGACTTCATGAAGTGGCCAACACCATAAAATAAAAAACTGGCAATAAGTGTATTTTGCTAATTAAATGAACATCATGAACATTACCAGTTTAGTTTTATCAGAGAATGCTAAACTCCACAAAATATCATCATCAATAAACACACAATTTTAGAGTCTCCATCTATCAACCTGATTTCCTTTGTTTTGCTGTTTTCAATTGGTTTAGAATAAAGGGAATAGCCTCTTTCAAGGTTGCCTTTCTATCCTTTTTTATGTGCCATAGCTCTGTCAAGGAATATCTGACACTTGGATTGTATTCATGTACCAGAGTAGCCACAAAAGCATTACATACATCTTCCCCAAACTCAGCCTTAAGTCTTGCAATCTTCTCATCTTCATAATAGATTATATCCTGAAAACCACATTTCACACAACAAGCTAGAAAAAAAATGATCTACACATGATAATAATAATAATAATAAATTAAAATATACCCATACATAAAATTTGTCTCCACCGAAGCACATCTTGAATGGATGCCAGTTTGGATCCCTCAACATAAAATCCTCCCACAAAGATAAACACTTGATTACTTTCTCTACTTTGGTTTGACTAGAAAACCGTTTCTTAGCAGCAACAGTGAAAGACTTTACATCAAGCTCATCCAACTTCTTTTTTGCAGCATTTTGGGCAGGAAGAGGATCAAAAGCTTCTCTCATACCCTGTTTTAAAACAGGGATAGAAAGGTAATTATTAATCTTGTAAAAACAAGTTGGAAGGACATGTAAACTCACAGATATTAACTCTTTACGAGCATCCTCCAATTCATCATTGCTCAATTTTTCCTTCACTATTAATAAGGCTTCATTTAGCTCTTTCAGCTTCTCGATTTCTTTTTCTTTTTCCTTCACATCTTTTTCAATCCACTCATTTTCTTTTTTAATTCCACATTCTCATCACTCAAATTCTTCATCACTTCCATTTGGTTCATCTCTACTTCCTTGTCATCATCAATCTTAATCTCAAGCTCCATGATTTTGTTCTGAAGCCTTTCATTATCTCTCTGTCATGTGTTCATAACTAAACTATTAGAAAACAATTTCCAAAGACATGTGTAAGATTCAAGAAACAAACCTTCTCATCATAGGCCAACTTCAACAATCTATCATATGCTTTCTTTTGCTCCAACATTGCCAATTCATTCTGAACAACAAATTATAGAATAAATTTATCAAAAAAAAAAAAAAACATCGAGAGCATATATCAGCATACCATATTAACAACAAATAATTAGTACCATTTTCTTTTCATGCTCTTCATGTTGCAGCTTCATCTGAAGATGCTCAATGATCTTGTTGCCCTTCTCTTGCATACTTTTGAGATCTAATCAGTTACAAAGTTAGAAATTTCCTGTAGCAAACAAAAAACATACTCCATTGTAACTTCATAAAAAGCTTTAGAAAATCACTACCTTTATTAAAGTTCTCAATAAGCATATCTTTCTCTTTCATAACAGAAGCTATACGAGAATTTGCCACACTTACTTGACTCTGAAATTCTTTACTTTTTTGGCTCATTTCCTCTAAGAGAGTTTCAAATCCCATAACAAGTTTTGGGTTATTTACTCATTTTCTTTTTCGATTGCAGAAACAGTCTTCAAAACCCCATTCTTTCTGAGAAAATCACCAACATGATCATCTGAGTAATAATCTTCATCCCCTGCAATCCAAGCATAGAGCTTATCATCTTTACACCAGTTGCTATCATACCAATCCTTCCTCCCATGTTTCTCCACCTCAAAACCATTCACAAACCTCATTGCATTATTAAAATCATCCAATTCTTTTCCAAACTTCACCACAGCAAATCCTGAGTGACCCAAACAGCTCCACAAAGGATAGACTTTTACAGGTTTGTAGCCTTGTTTTATCCACTCATCCTTTAGATTCTTAGCCACATCACCCAAAAAACCATCATCCAAATAACTATCATCCTCGTATTCAACTGGTATGTTGGCTACCACAGCCATAGTAGGTCAAACAACTGACTCTTCTTTATTATAGTCCCTCATAATGTTGTCACTATTCTCCTCTAAATCAGTGCTTTTACTAATTGACTCTGAATCCTTAAAATCCCTTTCCAAATACTCTTCCAGTGCCATATGTTTGGCCTTTTCTTTTAAACCAGTGCTTCTTGATTTTCTCACAATTCGAGATGCATGCCTACAGAGGTTGTAATAAGTTCTGCTATAAGAAGTACAAAATTTCATCATACTGAGTCAATTGCATATAAATAGTTGTAATAAGTTCCCTTAAAAGCATAATCGATGTGTGGATTAACCACAATGATTATGCCTTACAACCAAAGAGCTTTTTTTCGCATTTCCATTTACATAACCACAAAATTTGGACTCCTAAGAAGCACAGTTAGACCGAAATATGTAGACAAATCGACTACAATAAATAATCGATAACTTCAAGATCGAAGTATAAAACCCAAATATCACGATAGCGATTCAACGGAATATAAAACTATTTGAATAATCAACCAAGAATAAATCGAACGATAAAAAGAAAAAACACGCGATATTTACGTGGAAACCCAAATCGGGAAAAACAACGGGCGGAGGAAGCCGAGAACCAATTTACTATAATATTCAGTGTTTACAGAGATAGAGGAAAGAAAAACAAATATATCAAATATATATTTGTATGAATATGAGAGATAAATGAAGATGTAATTTGAGGTGTGGTGTTTTTAATAAGCTTGGTTTCATTTCCTTTTATAGGCAAATGAATGTATGAATTCAATTGTCTATTAGCATCCAAGCGTGACAAACATGCTACCATCCATTCTTGACAAACATGCTACCACCCATTCTTGACAAATTAAAACCACATGTGTAGAATGGTATTCTAGAAATCAGCCAATGTTGAAGTTTGAAGGAAACTTCCACAATCTCCACCTTGACTTCAAATGAGACAGGATGAAAAAACTTTAACTTGCACAATGATCATGCAAAACAGTTTATCAACAGCTCATCATACTCCAAATCTCTATAAGAATCTGCAAACACCATATGAGAAAAAATTGATTTCGAAAAGTAAATATACTTCCTCCACCACGAGCCTATCAGGCTCAAATGCGATCTGAAACACCCACCAAATCCAAACATGCTTTGAATTTGGCTATTGGAAGACTTTTAGTGAACATATCAGCAGGATTATCATTGGTGCTGATCTTGTTTACTGTAATATCGCCTTTAGCAATAACATCTCTGATGAAGTGATAACGAACATCAATATGCTTCGTTCGATCATGGAACATTTGATCCTTCGTCAGAAATATTGCACTTTGATTGTCACAAAAAACAGTGTTAACAGATAACTTGTTTGAAAGCTCACCTATCAACCGTTTCAACCAGAGGGCTTCCTTCACTGCTTCCGTAGCAGCCATGTATTCGGCTTTAGTGGTGGATAACGCTACAGTAGATTGTAACTGCGCTTTCCAGCTAACTGCGCAATCACCCAAAGTAAACACGTACCCTGTAATCGATCGTCTTTTATCCAAGTCCTTTGCATAATCGGAATCCACATAACCAAGTACTCCATTATCGGTTTTTCCAAACCGCAGACATAAAGAGGAAGTACCTCGCAAGTAGCGAAAAATCCATTTAACAGCAACCCAATGCTCCTTTCCTGGATTCGCCATGTATCTGCTCACCATGCTTACAACATATGACAAATCTGGACGTGTACAAATCATAGCATACATAAGAGATCCTACAGCGCTGGAGTATGGTACCTTTGCCATGTATGCTATATCTTCTTCGGTGGTAGGACTTAAGGCGGATGATAGCTTGAAGTGGGCTGCGAAAGGAGTGCTGACTTCTTTTGCGTCATGCATATTGAAACGGTGCAGAACCTTCTCAATGTAGCTTTGTTGAGAAAGGTATAGAGTTCTTGCACTACGGTCTCGCACTATTTCCATTCCTAGAATTTTCTTGGCAGCACCCAAGTCCTTCATATCGAACTCAGCATTCAACTGGTCTTTTATCTTTTGAATCTCCTTTATATTCTTCGCTGCAATTAACATGTCATCCACGTATAAAAGTAGATAGACCATTGAACCATCGTCACACTTTTTGTAGTAAACGCAGCTGTCGTAGGTGCACCTTTTCAGCTTGTGACTGGTCATAAATGAGTCAAACCTTTTATACCATTGTCGAGGAGATTGCTTGAGGCCATAAAGAGACTTCTTCAATTTGCACACGTAGCTTTCCTTGCCAGGAGCTACAAAACCTTCAGGTTGTTGCATATATATCTCTTCCTCAAGCACACCATTTAAGAATGTTGTAGTAACATCAAGTTGCTCTAATTCATAGTCATGAGAGGCAACTAATCCCAACAAGACACGTATTGACGTGTGTTTCACAACCGGAGAGAAAATGTCGGTATAATCGATACCTGGGATTTGATTGTAGCCTTTGGCTACCAAACGAGCTTTATATCTTGGTTTGTCACCAGGGTGGATAGCCTCCTTCAACTTGTAGACCCATTTGCACTTAACTGTCTTCTTACCCTTTGGAGCTGGAACGAGATCCCATGTGCCATTTTTCTGAAGAGATTCCATCTCCTCGTGCATAGCAACCATCCACTTATTAGAATGTTTGGATTGAATGGCCTCGTTGTAGCTTGTGGGCTCCAGAACAGACTCAACTTCATTGGCAACTGTAAGTGCATAAGCGACAGAATTGGCTTGAACATATCTCTTTGGAGGTACAATCTGTCTGCGAGGTCTATCTCTTGCAATGGAGGGACTGTGAGGTTGGCTTGGAGCTTCGGCTGGCTCATGAGAAGAGGAATGTTGATTATTCGAGGGTTGAGAAACCTCGACACCTTCATGAGACTGGTCCTCGAAAGATGAATTTAAAGGAAACTCCACCTCCACTCGAACTTTGTCTTTTTCCGAATTTTCATTTTCTCTGGTCTGAATGTTGGAGACAGGATGAAGCATGGCTTTTTCACCGAAGGTCACATCTTTAGATGTCAAAACCTTGCTTAGCTCCGGGCTCCATAATTTGAACCCTTTAACACCTGCCGGATATCCGAGAAAGACGCATTTAATTGCCCTCGGTTCCAATTTACCGTTATCAACTCGGGCATATGCTGGACATCCAAATGGAATCAATTTCGTGTAATCAGCAGGTTGGCCGGACCAAAGCTCAAATGGGGTCTTCTTTTGAATAGCACGAGAAGGGGAACAGTTGATAATGTAGCATGCAGTTGAAGCGGCCTCGGCCCAAAAAGACTTCGGCAACTTCGAATGAGATAGCATGCATCGGACCTTCTCTATGATGGTGCGGTTCATACGTTCCGCTACGCCGTTCTGCTGTGGTGTATGAACTACGGTGCGATGCCTCGTAATTCCTTCCCTACGACAATAGGAGTTGAATTCTTCAGAACAAAATTCCAGTCCATTATCAGTACGAAGGTATTTCACTTCAAAACCTGATTGCTTTTCAACCAATACTTTCCAATCTCTAAAAGTTTGGAATACTTCTCCCTTTGACTTCAAGAAGAACGACCATACCTTTCTTGAGAAATCGTCAATGATCGTGAGCATATAAGAGGCTCCACCTTTCGATGTAACCTTTGCTGGTCCCCATAAATCAGAGTGTATGTAGTCAAGTGGCCCTTTCGTCGTATGTTTGCCACCGATAAAACTCACTCGCTTCTGCTTTCCAAATACACAATCTTCACAGAATTCAAGTTCGATTGATTTGTGCTCCCCGAGCAACCCCCTTCGACTTAGTTCATTCATACCATGGTATGACATGTGAGCGAGCCTAAGGTGCCATAGACGAGAGCGATCAGCGTTGGAGAGGGATTTAGAACATACCGAGACTTCGCCGGAGATAACTTACCCATCCATAATGTAAAGGTTTGCGGATTTTCTAACTCCTCGGATGACCACAGAACCTTCCTTGAAAATATGGAGTTTCCCGTCTTTGCCAACAAACTCGTAACCTTTCTTCTCGAAAGTACCGAGACTTAGTAAATTTCGCCTAAGACCGGATACGTGCTTCACATCTTGAATCGTTCGAACAACGCCATCGAACATGCGGAACCTGAGTGTACCCCGTCCAATAATACGACACGAAGTGTCGTTACCCATTAGAACGTGGCCTTCGTTAACCTTTTCATATGAATGAAAAACGCTTCGGTTGGAGCTCATATGAAAAGTACACGCTGAATCAAGTACCCACTCACTCGTGGTCATTAAACCGTAGTCTGAAACGGATAGAAGCTCGCCATCAGAACCAGTTTCGGCAACATCGGCTTCAACGGTGTTATTGGTTGTTTTTCCCTTTGCGATTGCCTTTGCTTTCTCCTTGTTCTTTAACTTGAAACATTCATCGATCAGATGTCCCTTCTTGTGGCAATAATTGCAATACTTGCGATTGGCTTTGGACTTAGATCTAGATCGGTTTTGTGAAGAGCTACCTCTCTCGTTAGGTCTCCCTCTGATGTTGAGACCTTCGGCTTTAGAATCGCTGCTACTGTTCCCAACTATCTGCTTCATCTTTTCCTTTGAATCAAGAGCAGTCATTACCTCGTCAAGGACAAGAGTGTCCCGAGAATAGATAATGGTGTCACGAAAGTGATCGTAGGAGTCTGGGAGAGAATATAATAAAAATAACGCCAAGTCTTCATCTTCGTATTTGACGTCCATATTCTCCAGATTTCCTACAAGCTCTTTAAAGGTAGAGAGGTGATCAGACAAAGAACTACCTTCACCCATCTTTAGGTTAAAAAGTCGTTGCTTCAAGTGTAGCTTGTTGGGCAAGCTTTTCGTCATAAGTAGCTGCTCGAGTTTTAGCCAGAGAGCCGCTGCGGATGTCTCTTTCAACACATCTTGGAGAACGTCGTTAGAAAGATGCAGACGGATCTGCGACGACGCCTTCAGATCTTTCATCTCCTTTTCCTCAGTCGACCAAGTTGCCGGCATTTTCTCCATTCCTAATAGTGCTTTGTGGAGATCCATTTGGATCAACACATCTTTCATCTTTACTTGCCAGAGAGGGAATCTTGTGTTTCTGTCAAGTAAAGGAATATCGTACTTCATCGATGACATGGTTGAAAATAGTTTTTTACGAATCGTTATCGGAAAACCCGGATAGCTCTGATACCAATTGTAGACAAATCGACTACAATAAATAATCGATAACTTCAAGATCGAAGTATAAAACCCAAATATCACGATAGCGATTCAACGGAATATAAAACTATTTGAATAATCAACCAAGAATAAATCGAACGATAAAAAGAAAAAACACGCGATATTTACGTGGAAACCCAAATCGGGAAAAACCACGGGCGGAGGAAGCCGAGAACCAATTTACTATAATATTCAGTGTTTACAGAGATAGAGGAAAGAAAAACAAATATATCAAATATATATTTGTATGAATATGAGAGAAAAATGAAGATGTAATTTGAGGTGTGGTGTTTTTAATAAGCTTGGTTTCATTTCCTTTTATAGGCAAATGAATGTATGAATTCAATTGTCTATTACTATCCAAGCTTGACAAACATGCTACCATCCATTCTTGACAAACATGCTACCACCCATTCTTGACAAATTAAAACCACATGTGTAGAATGGTATTCTAGAAATCAGCCAATGTTGAAGTTTGAAGGAAACTTCCACAAAATATATCTAGTTATCTTTTAGTATACAATTTTAAGAATAAGAAACTAAGAATATTACCTATTTGTCTATTTGAAGAAACACAGACAAGAAATACTATATGAACACAAACAATTTTCAGCTAGAAGCCAAGAGCAGAATAACCGGTAGCTTGAAAGTGCATTGATTACATAGGTATGTAATCAAGTATCCAGGTAGAAGTAACAACAAAATACAGTACAATACAATAAATGTGTATCCAACCAAAACGATATGATTTTAAGTACTTCAAGGTCATCGCCATTGGAGAAGGTGAAGGAAAGGTATGAATTTAAGTACTTAACTAACAGAAAAAGGTGTAATGATATGATTGTGAAGGTGTAAAGTTTTTAAAAACAGTAACCATGGAGTATTTATTTTGCCAAATAGGAAATGATAGATGAAGAAGATGAGAAGATTGGCATGTTAAAGGCTGAATGTGATGAGGATGTATATGATGCGGTTGTTACAGCCCTAAAAGAGCTGAATGAGTACAATCCAAGTGGCAGATATCCATTTTCAGAGCTTTGGAACAATAAAGAAGAAAGAAAAGCAACACTGAAAGAAGGTGTTGAGTTTATTCTCAAACGATGGAAAACATACAAATACAAAGAATCGAGGTTGAAGAGGAGCACATTTCAAAACCAGGGAGTTTAATGTCTTGATATGGAAGATAAAATCATATTTCAACAAAAAAAAGTTTGTCATAACAATATATATGTCATATATATATTATCAGCCACATAACTTTTATCTAGTAATTTATTATGTATTTGGATGATATTGGTAAGATTTCTGGAATGTAATGTTGTAATAGAACGAAATTAAACCCAATATATTAAGTTAAGTTGGAAGTGTTTTCTATGATAATATACATAAAGTGTTTTATTTTAGGATAATCAAAGTTTTGCAAGATCTAAAGATGGAGAGGAAAACATTGAACCCTAAGAAAAGTATTATTTAATGTTCACTTCAAAGATGTTTTCATCAAAAACATAGAATATCCATAATTATTTTAATAATAAAAGTATCATTGAAAATCGAGAAGAATTCTTGTAGAAAGATATAACTGTAACTATAAATTTGTTAGTGTTTTTTCTTCCCTCCTCAAGAACATTTAATTAAAACATAATACATTCTTGTTATTACGTTTGGTAATTTACCATAGATTTTAAAAATTATTAAATTGAAGTCCATCCAATTTTCAACCAACACTTTATAGGATTTTGATTCCTTTAAATTCTTGTTGAATTCTAATTCCTTCCAAAAGAATATGCATAGCTCCAAAAACTATAAATAAGGATAATATAGACTTTTTATATTGTAGGAATGAAAAAACAACAAAATAAAAAGACATGAGAATGCAACATAAAAAATTAGGGACAAAATACTTAGGTTACGTTTAGTTGCGGAAAAATGTGCCGTTTTCCGGAAAAATTTTCCAAGAAAAATGAAAATTTTGAAAACGCGTTTAGTTCGTCTGTTTTTCTAAATTTTTTTACGGAAAATGAAAATATTTTGTTTTCTAAAATTACAACGAAGTTAAAAAACTTTTGGAAAAACCAATAATCATTATTTTCTATATTTTTCTAATTCCAAAATTTTTCTAAAATATAAACACACACCCACTCTCACCTCTACCTACCCACACCTTAACACCCCAACTCACCAACCCCTACCTACCCCCACCCACTCCCATTCCCAAGCCCACCCACCCCTCCCATAGGGGTGAGCATGGTGCGGTTCGGTTCATTTTTCCTATTTTTTTTGTTGGTTTGGCTATTTTTTTCTGTCAATGGAGAACCCGAAGAACAATCAGGTTTGTCTACTTTTTATCAAAATTTTACCGTGTTTGTGATTAGGAGTATGTTTTGTATATGGGATTAAGTTTTTTTTGAAAAAAATCGAAAATATATATATATATATATATATATATATATATATATATATATATATATATATATATATATATATATATATATAAACCGTAGGTTTCATACGAAACCTGCGGTGTTCAAGTGCCCAATGCACAGATTGTGCAGTGTCGACTTGTACACCTACGGTTTCGTATGAACCGTACGAAATTTTTTTTTGACAAAATAGTAGATTAAACCCCAAAACCGTAGCTTTTTTGACAAAACAGTAGATTAAACCCTAAAACAGTACACTTAAAAAAAACGTATTTTTTTTCCCAAAACCGTAGCTAAACCGAGAGGAAACCGTAGGTTTTAAAAAACCTACGGTTTGTTTCTTAGAAATGAAAAAAAAAAATTATACAAAACACGAAACAGTAGACGAATTGGCGAAACAGTAGACGAATATAGAAACCTACGGTTTCGTGGGCTATATTTGGACATTTACTAATTTTTGGCTAAAAATTGCTAATCACTTTCTTAATTTGGCTAGATTAGTAACTACCCCGTTTATTAAATATGAAAACTGTTTTTTCATAACTAACGCAACCTTAATTTTACTGGACCATTTCAGGTTTATTAAATATTAAAGATATAAAATTATAAAATATTATATAAATTGAAATGTAATATTAAATCATTTAAATTGATTGGATAGAGACATGCGATGCGAGCACTGCAGCTCTTCCTCATTTGTACAAACTACAAAAGAATCTCAGGAAACGAGAAACCACCCATTTCTGCAAAAAAACTCAATCAAGTACTTTCTTGTTAGGAAGAAAGCAATATATACGATTACTCCTTTACATTCATTCCTTTTCAAATCTCTTCAAAAAAACTCACAGAATCACGCATCAACAATCTCCGCGCTCTAAATCGGTTTACAATTTCTTCAAAAAGTTTGCTCTGTTTGATCGATATCTTCTGCATTACCACTCCACAAACCCAAACGATTCCATCCTAGGGTTTTGGTTTATAGTTCTGAATCCTACAGCTTCAAACTTCTAGAAACTCTCAGGTATACTATAACACTACTCCAATCATCGTGTTGTGTTTTTGTTAACCTGCGTGATATACAGTATACGACAATACTCCCTATTGTTCATGGAGCGGTGTTATTGAAAATTTTATGTTTGTGCTTACTACTTTTAGAGGTAGATGTAAGATGTTTCTATGTTTTTTTAGTGTCCATTACAATGTGATCAGTTTTGTAGTAATATTTGCAGTTGATTTGATTTTCAGTAAAGCTTAATCGCACCAAAATATCGTCTTGAGTATATTAATCGATAACAGTAGTTTATTCCGTTAATGTCGTTGATTTTTTTGTGCTATATCAACTTATTAAGGACTATACACTATTTCAGCTTACTATTGTGAAATTATACTGTTTTTTTTTTAAATATTGTAGCTTAATGCCCTTATTTCTGCAGATAAGCAATGTTATTGGGTTGGTTTAGGTGCTATCCTTGTTGGCTTTTATGTTCTTTGTGTTTACTTACATATCAGTGATCCTTGTTGGTTTAGGTGCTATCCTTGTTGGCTTTTGTGTTCTTTGTGTTTACTTACATATCACACATTCTCCTACTAAACCCTAAATTTCAACAAATAGATGAATGTATGAACATCAAGAGAACCAACTCCAACTATATATGCATGCTTGTTCTTCTTTCTAAATAAATTAAAGTTCTTTTTTTCTGTAAAGGGTTCTTTCTATTGGAGATTATTGCTTTGTAATTTCATAAATTTATTTTAAATGCTTGTTGTCATTGTTGTTATTAATCTCATGTTTTGTCTATCAAATGATTTTGAATATCTGTTTAGGTGAAGCTCTTAGTAGAGGCTTTTCCTTTAAGAAGTGATGTCATGCAGCTTAATTTGTTGTGTTTGATATTTTGTAATACAGGTGTACCATGATTCAGACAAGAGGAGAGCTGATCAATAGTGATCCTACATTTGATGAATATAAGTGCAGGTATTACAAGGAGTTGACCCTCGGTCTGGTCAAAGTGAAGGTTTCAGAAAAGGTGTATAAATGTCCATATTGCCCCCAGAGTAGAGAATACAGTTATGATGACCTCTGTAGGCATGCAACTCGAATAGCAACAGAATCAAAAAGTGCTGGTTTAAAAGAAAAGGGGAAGCATATGGGACTTTTGGAGTTTCTAGAGAGATCTATCAAGTCTTCTGAATCAACCTGTAAAAGAAGCAGAGATCCTCAATTGGGGTTGGAAACTCTCTTACAAGAAATGAGCAAAAGAAGTCAAGAACTTATAAGCAGGACAGATTCTGATATGGCTTTTGTTATTCAACAGAATGAAATGATCGTTGACAACTTTAACAGAGGTATTAATTTCTAAAGTGTCTCATGAAAGTTACAACTATATGATTGAATCATTGGTCCTTTATTTTTCATCTGGACTGCTTCAGACAATTTCTAGTTTGATATACACATGCTTGCAAATTGCTAACTTTGCTTCTTTAATTAGATCTTAGAATCTTGCAAGAGAAGGCAAACAAGAAAATCAAAAAGATTATGACTGAGCATGAACACAGCAAAATGGTACTAAGATTAAGATATTGTTGATATGGTTTATTTGTTAGGTGTTGATCATGACACAAGTTTCTTTTTTTATAGAATGAATCAGCAACTTTGAAGGAGCAGAAGCCAGATGAAAGGATGTTAAAGTTGGTAGAGGATCAAAAGGTTAATTCTAATTCTTTTGTGGATCTTGAAAGCTCTGATACACATATATGGTTATATGATTTCTTTTTTAATATATATATATATATATATATATATATATATATATATATATATATATATATATATATATATATATATAAAAGTTATGTGGTACATAATGACAGAGAGAAATAGAAAAACTTAAGCACCAAATCATGGAGCTTGAGAAGACGTCTGAATCCATTAAAGAAAATCTGAAAGAAAAAGAAGAAGAATTGAAGAGGTTGGAAGAGCTTCAAGAAGCCTTGATAGTGAAGGAAAGATTGGGAAATGATGAATTACAAGATGCTCGCCAACAATTAATTTATGTAGCCTTCTTTCTTTCCATCCTTTTGACTCTTATGCATCTATAATAATTACGTACTAATTACCTTTTTACCCCTCTTACAATAAACAGGGTTTGGAAGATAATTGCGTTGGTGTTCGTGCACATAATGTTAGTATAGGTGTGAAAAGAATGGGTGAGCTTGATGCAAAGCCTTTGATTGCTTCTGCAAAAAGACGATGTTTAAGTGAAGAGGATACAGCCAAGTTTGTATCTTTATGGGAGGATCATCTCAGGGATCCAAGCTGGCATCCATTCAAGGTCATCGCCATTGGAGAAGGGGAATCCAAGGTATGATCGATCTTAGTTAAACATAAAAAACATCATTTAATTTAATTTATTATTGGCATGATAGGAAATGGTGGATGAAGAAGATGAGAAGATTGCAATGTTGAAGGGTGAAAGCGATGAGGATGTATACAATGCGGTGTGAAAGCCCTAAAAGAGATGAATGAGTACAATCCAAGTGGCAGATATCCATTGCCTGAGCTTTGGAACCACAAAGAGAAAAGAAAAGCGACATTGAAAGAAGGGTTTGAATTTATTCTCAAGCAATGGAGAATATACAAAAACATGAAACGAGATTGAAGAGTTAATCATATTTCAACAAAAAAGTGTGTCATAAATTTATTCAGGTTTAGTCATATTATCTATATATGTCATATATCATCAATATAGCTTTAGAGATGTTAACGTTGGTCTATCTATCTTCCAATTGGTCAATCATGTTAATTTAACTGAGATTGATAAAAAATGATGTAACCAATATGATTTGGATAGTTGTTGATTTGGTTTTCTTCTAGAGTGACTTAATAGACTCGTATGTAGTTTTTACCTAAACATATTCAATTGAGTTTTTACCTAAAACATATTAAAGTTTCTAAAATCATTCGTGGCATCTTAATTTTTTTATTTGCTTTGATCTCTTTCGTCTGTGGATTTATAGGTGTTTTGGAGAAAAAAAAATAATAAGTTTTAACAAATGGTTTATATAGTTAACACTCGACACTAACTCTTATTAGTTATTCGAATAAGAAATAACGAAATAGTTATTATTTAATTACTCGGGTCACTTTAATTTCTGGTTTGATGAAAATGAATTGTGATATGTACACTTTTGAAGAATATTTAAGAAAAGATATACTTGTTGTATGAATGGCTGCTCGAGTGGACTAGTGATGGTGATTTGAGGGTTATCTAATTGCCTATTTATTTTTGTTTTGATGAATAGGATGTAGGTAATGTGTTTTTTTATAATTATTTTTACACATGCTAAACTTTATTTTAAGTATTTTTGAATTAAATCAATGTTTTGAGTTTTTTGGTGTTTAGTATTTTTTTTTTACATGTTAAATTTTTTTTATAGTACTGAAAGTTACTTGTTTAAGTTTTTCTTCAAGAAGAAATGTACATCCACACGCATAACTAAAAAACAATAGAGAAATAAATTGACAAATTCTATACTTTAATATGCCTTATCGGATATAAAAATTAAAACATACGAAAAAACAACAAAATAAAGATTCCCCACTTCAATAAAATTGAATTTGTTAACAATTTTGTTACTTTGCAGAAAGGGTATTTTTTAAAATTAAAGTTGTTGATGGTTTATTTAAACTCTACAATGACAAAAAAACAACTTAATGAATTAGTTATAATAATAATTGAGATCAACCTTCTGGTTAAAATTCCTTGTTAAAGCGTATTTAAATTTTTTGACTCGCCGATTGTTAGAAGAATAATAATAATAATTCTTAAGTAAATATAAGATTTTTGATACTTACTTTGAGCGAAACGTTTCTTACTGTTATCTTATAAAATAAAATAAAAGGTACGCGAATATAATTTATCATAATTTACTAATTTTAGAGCCTAAATTTAATGAATTGCATATGACCAATAAATGTTAATGGATTATACCTAATATTTTAATCGAAACATAGAAGCTTCATTGTAATATAGGCGTGGAATGTCAATAGTAAGGGGATAATGATTTGAAAGGGTAACGAACTTTCGACTTTGTTCACATTTAGTCACTAAACTTTTTTTCGTTATCTATTTGCCACTGAACTATTGAAACTGTTCATCTTTTACCCTTATGACCGGTTGTTACCGGTCATAAGGGTAAAATGTGAACAGTTTCAATAGTTCAGTGGCAAATAGATAACGAAAAAAGTTTAGTGACTAAATGTGAACAAAATCGAAAGTTCGTTTCCCTCTAAAAAAGTTCAATGACTAAATGTAAACAAACTTCCTCTTGTATTATGTTTTAGCAAATTATTTATTTTTGTTAAATTGTAGCAACATTTGTTCATGAAGAAATCTATTAAATAAAAAAAAACCAAAACCCCGAAAAATATATTAAAAAAAACGAAAAACCGAAACCGAAATAAAAACCAATGGTTTGGTATTTTCCAAAATAAAAAATCACAATTTTCCAATCTGATTTTGGTTTTACAAAAATTCAACTTTTGGATTTCCATATCTAAATATCTCCACCTTTTTATAATCGAAAAATGATTATAAAACCAAAAAGGGAATGAGAAAGAGCTCAATTCAGAATTTTTCTATCCAAAACTCCCCTTTGTGACATGAGAGATAGAGAGAGACATTTAAACACCTCTATATAAGGTGGGTTCATACCACATGTAGAGTTGTGCTTGAGAGATATAACATTGAGAGTGTTAGTGTGTGTTAATTATATAGATTTAGATCTAGATCATTTTTGTAAACACCTTTCATAATCGAATGCATCTCTTAAACACCCAAATCACCGTGTTCTTTGTGTGTTCTTTAATTCCGCATGTCAAACCAATGGTCATAATTCACATCAGTGAGAATGGTTCATTTTTTTGTAAAACCAAAATCAGATTGGAAATTTTGATTTTTTTTTTTGGAAAATGCCAAACCATTGGTTTTTAATTCGGTTTTGGTTTTTCGTTTTTTTTAATATATTTTCGGGTTTGGTTTTATATTTCATAGATTTCTTCATCAACAAATGTTGCTAGAATTTAACAAAAATAAATAATTTGCTAAAACATAATACAATAAGAAGTTTGTTCACATTTAGTCATTGAACTTTTGGAGGGAAATGAACTTTCGATTTTGTTGACATTTAGTCACTAAACTTTTTTTCATTATCTATTTGCCACTGAACTATTGAAACTGTTCACATTTTACCCTTATGACCGGTAACAACCGGTCATAAGGGTAAAATGTGAACAGTTTTAATAGTTCAGTGGCAAATAGATAACGAAAAAAAATTTAGTGACTAAATATGAACAAAGTCGAAAGTTTGTTACCCTTTCAAGTCATTATAACGAAAGGTTGTTGTCTGCCTGTGTCTATATATATATATATATATATATATATATATATATATATATAATATATATATATATATATTATATATATATATATATATTATATATATATTCACAATGTTTACACGACTAATCTTATATATATAATATGTGCACATCATTAACCATTTACACAAAAGTTACATATACAAATTATATATATATATATATATATATATATATATATTATTGTAAATAATTGGTGGTGTTGTAAATAATTGGTGCATGGTAAATTTGTCAACATTTCTAAGTAGTTACAATTATATGTTAGTAAAATTTGTAGTATAAATACCCCTTCATTGTAAAGAATGTGATACACCAAAAAGTTATAAGACATATAACTTTCATATTCTCTCAAAATATTCTTTCTTCTCAATTAAAGTTTTTATCAAAGTTTACTAGTTTGGTTTGATTTATAGTTACATTAATTACGCTTAATTCATAACACGTTATCAGCACGAAAGCTCTAATCAAGGTTATTAAACAAGTGGAAAATCACATCTATCTTAATCAAGGTATGTATTACTTAGTAAAAACACTATTAATTATAAAAACCTCAATCATATTAAAATAATAATACTAATGAATTAATGAAACTTATACATTATGGACATATAGACTACTAACAATTTTTATTTCTTATACTAACATTTCTTTATGTATTCTAATTTTTATACTAACATTTACATTATGCAACTAATTTTTATTTATGCAAACTAACATTTACATTATGCAACTAACTTTTATTTATGCATACTAACATTTATATTATGCTATACTAACATTTAAATTATATTTATTTATACATGTCAATGTTTATTTATATTTTAGATACTCTTCATAATTTTATTTAAGCATTTACTAATATTTATTTATGTTTCTAATTAGTAAAGTTATATATTAGTTATAAGTCTTATTATATGATTTATAAAATACATATACATATATACACAATGGAATATATATGCAACGGTTATAAACAGCAAAAACAACGGCTATATTTTTTACCATAAATAAACATCTTTACCCTGCTTATTTTATCCACAACAAATATTTCTCTCTTCTATCAAATAAATCAATTTCAAGAAATCAAGCTTCAAGATGATTCATCCTTTTGTGATAATCATGACTGTAATGGGCCATGAAGGTGATGGTGGTGACGAGCCGCCACATCCGTTCGGTGGAGATTTTGGTGTTCACCAGATTGATGGTAATTAAGATTTATTCTAATTCATTGTATTTCATATTGTATGTATATAAAAAACTATCTTTAAATTTACTAATATTTTTTTTTGCAGCTGTACCTCCCAGACGAAGAGGCATGACAGTAAACAAGAAAATGCATCGGCTATATGAAGCAAACGGCAGACAACCTCTAAAAATAATATTGACAAGAATACTTTTGTGCCGATGGGTATGTATACGAATGCTTTATTTGGGAGGTTGGAAGTTATATCTGGCGCGACATAGCTTTGGATAAGAACACCTGGAAAGAAGTTCCTGAAGCCTATCGAAATGACATGTTTACATATCTTTCGGTAAATTATTTATAAAGTTATTTAACATGTTTAATTTTGATTTATTTTTAACTTCTCTATTTTTTGTAGACATATTTTGATTTTTCAAGCCATTTCAAATGATCCAGATGCTAGAATTTATGGGCATCACTGAACCATCGGATATGTCAGCGGTATAGAGGCCGCAAAAATATTGCAAAAGATAAATTTATAGATATGCTAGAAGGTGCGAGGTAGCAAGGACTCGACCCCCCGCAGGTATGGATTCAGCGCGTTGGAGTGCTACTATTAACCACTTCTTAACTGATACACATTGTAAACGATCCAGTGTAACAAAGAATGCCGGAAGAAGCAAGTAGTTAAGAATCGTGGAGGGACGTGCAGCTACGGTAGTGCTTCTTTCAAAAATGTAAGTTACATTAATGTCTATTCAGTTATAACATATTTGTAATGTTTATTTTAGTATAACATATTTTTTAATGTTAAACAAAATTTGAATAAACTTGAAGTATTTCACCGTGCACATGTCAATAAACAAGGGAAATTCGTTGACCCGTTAGTTGAAGAACAATATGTAAGTTATTATTACTTAAAAATGAAGTAGACTATTGTTTTGTGTTTGTTTTGAAGTATATTGACAATCTTCGTGAAATGCAGAATGCTTTAGTTGCTGAGGTTGCTTTACAAACTCAGCACATAGCCGACTCCGGTGGTGATCCGAACTCCATTGATTGGATAGCCTTATTTGAGAAGGTGTTAGGTGCTCGAAGGGG